AGCGTTGATTTTTGCTTTTGGATCTGTAACATCTTCAAAAGCCAATAAAACACTACTCATCAAGATCATACCAAGAATAATATCATCAAAGTATGCATAAGATATTACTTCATGAATTACTTTTCTTACCCTAACAAAAAAAAAATACAAGTTTAAACTTCATCAAGTTACATTATTTTATTTTCTTTATCTTATTTATATACATTATATAATATATATCATTTGATTGAATATTTCAAATGACATGTAATATGTGGCTCACACCCCTCCAAAAAGATTTGGAAATTTCTAGCAGTCTTACACCTCAGAGAAAACCAGTCAATACCCCTTTACCTCAACCCCAAAAGAAAACCAAAAACATTTTACACTAAATACATTGTAACCTTAGTTAAAGCTAATGGGTAACTTACTTTTTATTTAAGTTAACATCAAAACAAATAAAAAAAATTCATACTATTAATTTTAATTTAATAACAAACTTGTAATAAAATTATGCGAAAAATAATAATAATAATAATTCTAATGAATAATAATGAAATGATAATAAACAATATAAAAAGTAAATAAAGAAAGTAAAAAATTTAACATTATAATAAGATAAACAACATGTACTTCTTATTTGAAAAAAAAAGCTGTTTAGTTATAGAGAAAATTAATTTGAATAAGAAAGCTCAAGTGAAAAAATTGTTTTAAATGATTCCTTTTATCTTTTTAACATTTGTAATTAAAACACTCGATTTCAATTACAATTGCTAACAATCTTCATGACCTGAATCCAAAATAATTTTCACATATGATAAGTCCAATATAATAAACCTATTGCAAATTTTTGACTTCATTAGTGACAATATGGAGTCCTGATTTGATATATTTGTTACTCTTAAATTCTTCAAAAATTTGTGTGTAATATTTTGATGAAAAGATTTTCATTGAATAAATGTATTCCTCTCCAACAACAAAAAAATTGTGCTTTAAAACTTGGAATTTGACTGGATTAAAGTTTTAAGTGATATTTCTTAAGGTGTATATTATGCATTATGCACTAGGCTACTACTTTTTCTCATCTTCATCAACAAAATGGCTGGTATAATTATTCATTGTGGTAAACTATATGCTGGTAATTCTCAAAGAGTTATAAAAAACCAGCTTCCAATAACTACAAACTATCTTTAACAGATTATTAGACTTGGCTGATACATGGTCTACACTTTAACAAAGATCAAAGCAAATATTAGATTTTTGGCAAAATATCTACAACAAAAATTTCGTTAACAAATTGAAAGAATCAGTTTCATCAAACCATGACAGACAAAATAGAAATTTCATGAAAGCTTGTTTAAGAGAATGATCTTGGTGTAAAAATTTAGCTACTGATTGTTTCATTTACAGTGAAACAATCAGATAGCTAAATTAATTCACCTGCTAACTTAAGATGTTTTTAAATGTATTATTAAATATTTGACAATCAAAACATTTCTGCATCATTTCTTTTTTCTCCTGAACTAGTTTAAACTGATTGGTAATCCTAAAATGTTTGCTTATCTTATTCTGGCACCTGGAAAATGGATACTAACATATCAGGTACTGATTACTATTCCCACCTGTCTCTTTTGCAAAATAAGTATATCATAATAAAGTAAATATAACAAAACAAAAGTGTTTGTTTTAATTCTTTTTATTCTTTGGTTTTATCCACCATATTCTAGTTTTTAATATTTTTATAATTTTTTTTTTTTCTTTCTTTCTTCTTTGCATTTTATATATTTTAAATTTAAACTATAAAACTTTATGGTTATATAAAAAATAATAATATTTTAATATAACTATAACATTTCTATAGTTTAAGTATATTGATGTAAATAAAATAATATAAACAAAAATATTTTATAACTAATATAAATTAAGGTTAAATAAATAAAAAAAGTGTTAAAGAACTAAGTAAAAAAAAAACAAAAAACAATTTGTAAATTTATTTTTAATAAAAAACTTTTTTATTAAAAATAAATATATTTCTATATTTCACAATTAAAAAGTTAATATAATTGTGTATTTTCTAATGAATTAATATATATATATATATATATATATATATATATATATATATATATATATATATATATATATATATATATATATATATATATATATATAGTTATATATATATATATATAGTTATATATATATATATATATATATATATATATATATATATATATATATATATATATATATATATATATATATATATATATATATATATATATATATATATACAAATATATATATATATATAGTATATATATATATATATATATATATATATATATATATATATATATATATATATATATATATATATATATATATATATATATATATATATATATATATATATATATATATATATATATATATATATATTTAGAAGATATTGAATTTTTTTTTAAATTTTTATGTGAAAAGCTAATGGTGACAATTTTGTCGCGAATTAAAGCAATTAACATATTTGTCCACAGTTAATTAGGCATACGACATAAATTAATAGCTTTATGACTAAAATGATTGAGTTATCAACTTTTCACAGATTTTTAATAATTAAATATCATTTAAAGTTTGATTTTGTTTACAAAACATAAAAAAGTATTGTTATTATCATCATGAGGAAAATAAATCTTGAACTAGAAAAAAATATTTTGGAAAGGCTTAAATCTAGACAATCTTATCATGAAATCGCTGCTGAGTTTGGAAAGTCTCATTATCTCATATATAAAATCAAATTGCGCAATAATTTAGAAGTAAATAAGCCTAAAAGTGGTTGAAGGAAAATTTTTAGTAGACCAAACAGACTAAAGAACAATCGCTTGTTTAATTGCTTCTGGAGAGTCTAAAACTGCAAAGGATGTTAATAATTTAATGAATAACAGCTATGGGACTCATGCTTCAGTGCGGACAGTCAATAGAGAGTTCAAAAAAATTGGTTTTCAATCCAGAAGGAAGATCAAGAAGCAATTGTTAGTTTCTTGTCACCGCCAAGCTTGTTTAAATTATGCTAAACTTCATGCACGCATGACTTTTGATGACTTTTATGACTGGATTTGGACAGATGAAAGTAAAACTAATATGTTTGGATCAGATGGTATAAGATATACTTGGAGAAAGCCTAATATACAATTAAGTGCTTGAGATTTTACACCAACCGTTAAATATGGCGGAGGAAAACTCTTGTTTTGAGGATGTTTCTGTGCTTGTGGAGTCGGTAAATTAGTGAAAATTAATGGAATAATGAACACTGATGACTATATCAACATCCTTAAGGTCGGATATTTCAAGTCCCTTCGAAAATGGGGCAGAACTGTACGTAACACGATTTTCATACAAGACAACGACCCCAAGCATAAGGCTGATAAAACCATTAAATTCCTTCACGAAAAGAAATTGAAAGTTGTTGACTGGCCAGCACAAAGCCCTGATCTTAACCCACTCGAAAGTTTATGGGCAATAGTTAAACAACGGGTCTACAACTTTCCTACTCCACCTAAGAATAAGGATGAACTTTGGGCTTGTGTACAAGAGGTTTGGTACTCAACTACACCCGAGGAAATTGGTTGCTAGTGTTCCTGAAAGAATTCAGACTGTAATTAATTCTAAGGGAGGATACACTCGATGTTAATTTACTATAGTATGTTATTTGCTTTCATTTGCAACAAAACTGTCACCATTAGCTCTTCACATAAAAATTAAAAAAAAAAATTCAATATCCTCTAAATTAAATAAAAAGCAATATTTTCAGTTAGCTAAATATTATTTAGCTAACTGAAAATATTATGTGTGTGTGCACATATGTGTGTGTGTCAATTCTCCTTATTTGGTTCTAGGAGACCACTATAAAAATATCTGGCCATCAATGTCATTGTTAAGCTGAAGAAGGTGTTTCAGAAAAAAATTTCATATACATTTTAATGAGTTTCCACAGTTTTTTTTTTTTGCTTTTTTTTTATCAAAACTCTGCAAATATATTTAGAAATACCAGAAATTATTAAGAAATTACCAGTTATTAGGATGTCCAAAAACAGTAGCATTGTACATTGTATACTGCTACCTAATTCTAATTTGAGTAATATAAATTTAATTACTTGATAAAAAAAATTTACATATATATAAAATATGCATAAAAACATTGTATATTTTGTAATCAATTCTGTTGTATTTTATAATACAAAAAATAATATTTAATATGGCTAGTGCATGACATGTTAGAAAAGCGAGCAAAAGAAGAACTGTTTATCTGGTGGGTACCTTCTCCAGATATTTTCTCTAAATAGACTTCCAACTGGTGGGGAAGTTTGTCACAGGATTTACCGGATTAACAGGAGCCATGCAACTGCGATCAAAAAATTGTCATCCAAAATTGGATGTCCTCTGGGGAGTATAGGGAAGTTTAAATGCAGTGGTGGTATGTGTTATGCTGATAGCAAAAACAAAATACCAAATGTGTGCATCATAAGGGAGCTGGTTAACATTTGGAACAAGGCAGACTTTGAGGAAAAGTTTATTATTAGTGAACGGTCGATTAAGTAAGCGACTAAATATTAAAACCTCTTGTCATAAAAATTAAGTATTCTGTGAAACAAATTTATCTGTGAAATATTTTTACACAAAAGTTTTTATGCTATATTTTAAAATGCTGGCATTTTTTTAATGTCATAACTTTTCATTTTAGGAATAGAATCATTGCTCTTTATACCCAGTATATTAAGTTTTTAAAGATGAAAACCCTAGAAATGAGCAAAGAAACCATAAACCAACACACTTAAGAGTTCTTAGACAAGGCCAATGTTTTGTTTCCTATACACAAAGAAGACATTTTCAAGTTAATTAGCAAAGATCCTAGAATGAGTAAAGAGGCAGTAAAGGAGGATTCAATTTTTTTGAAGAGACGTTTGAGGGGACATGGTCAAGATGTCCTACAATAATGACAAAACATTTACATTGCTGAAGGTGAGGAAAGGATAAAAAACCTGCTGAGGAAGATGGTAGAAGAGGAGCAACAGGAGGAGAAACTAAAAAAAAAAAGAATGCTAATTACTGGAAAAAGCAGCAGAAAAAGAAGGTTTGAGAAATTTTGAGCAG